GCTGCAGCAGGACCTCTGTTAGATGGCCCGGGCCTGCCGATGGGCTGGCAGAGGAAGAGGAGCAGAGCCTTCGGAGAACGTAATTCAGTTGCTGGCGCAATTGTGGTGGATGAGTTGTAACCAACAGAAGTTGTTTTGTGCGTATACTCCCTCAGCACGCTGCGATGCGGCCAACAGTTCTGCCAGCATCTGGACAGTTAAACTGGGGGTTGCCGTCTGATTCTGAAAGGGAAGGGGAGGTTTGGTAAAATTGGGTATACCCTGTGTCATTTCTTCCCAGCAGGTCTCTGCTGCTTATTCTAAGGCTGATACCTGAGCTCTGCTCCCATGCGCTCATATATCCCTTGTCAATTTTTTCTGTTCACGTGGTCTTATCTTAATAAATGAGCCCGATGTGGCCTCCTCGTTAAAAACATCTCCAGAGCTGCTTTTGCCCGAGAGGGGAAGCTGAGCTAACCCGTACCCCTGTGGCAGAGGCTAGGCTGGTTGGAGAAAGCGGCGTAGCTTTCAGTGGCGTGTTTTTGAAGTGCCATTTATCAGTCCAAGGGCATTCCCGCTTTGTTCCAAGCAAGAATCACGTGTCCTTTTTTGAAGTGATGTATTTGTTTCTCCTTCCAGGTTTTTCAGATGGCTCTCAAGTTCCAGAAGGGCCGCCAAAGCCGCTACCACGGAGAATAACTTCTGAGCGGAAAGCAGGGAGCTGCCAAACAGGCGGAGCCAGCAGTGGGACCAGTGCGTCGCTGCAACTCTCCAGCGAGATCGAGAATCTAATGAGCCAAGGCTACTCATATCAGGACATTCAGAAAGCACTGGTCATTGCACATAACAATATTGAAATGGCCAAGAATATTCTCCGGGAGTTTGTTTCCATTTCCTCCCCTGCGCACGTGGCCACATAGCACATTACCTCCACGCCCACGACTTCTGTGGACCAACTGCCTGGGCAGCCGTAGCCCCGCCACGCACCAAAGGGGAAGGGGGTTCCTTTAGAGACTTCGTGCTGAGGTCAGTCCTGCCTCTTAAGAGATCAGTTATCAGGTTTTTGTGGTTCCAGATTTCAAAGCAGTGGAATGAAATGGAGCAGAGTGGTGTTTTATACAGTGTATGTCTTGGAGTCCTTTACCCCTACCTCTTGTTTGAGAGAACAGATTTATTTCCAGGGTGTTGGTAGAGAAAAGTATCGCAACAAGGGATCCCCAAGCTGATGCCCTGGAGGCTGGGGGGAGTGTTTTGTGCTGTGAATTCTAAGTGAATGCTCTGAGAAACAAAGTCTCGAGGTCGGTGTGGTGTGTCCTGTGGTTCATGGTACTAGGTTTGGATCTGTTCGCTGCTGTGTGTCTGGCTCAGGCTTTTTAGAGCAGCTGGGAGGTCACTTTCTGCGGGGAATAAATGGGAGACCTTGGAAGAATCTTGCGATTGCTTCCTGTTTGCCGTGGCGTTTCCCTCTTGCCTGTAATAATAGCGTTTATTGCCTACGATTCGAGTCCTCCCTTTCTGCCTGGAGATGGCATGCCCACCTTCCGTCAGGCATTTTGATCTCGACGGTGCTGAGAGTTGGGTTTCTCTCGTATGCGTTCTGTTGCCGGCAGCACTGGCAGCACCAGATTCCGGGCAGCTGGACGTGCTGAACAGTTTCACCTGTTTCTGAGGGGTGGGAGCGGGGGGGAAGGATTTGAGTGAGAGCAAAGAACTGGCTGCTGCTTCTCTTTTTTTAGCCTTGGGCACTTTGTGCTTCGGTGCTCAAACTTGACTGTGGCCCTGCTGGGCTTGAGCAGCCGTCGCCGGACGCTCCCATGCCCTCTTTCTCTGGGAACGTTGCACTGGTAAATATGATGGTTTATTTATCCTAATTGCATGGTGGCTGTCGCAGACTGGTGGCCTTCACACACGTTCCGTCCTCTTCAGGGAGCTTTTGCGGGAGCCAGCTGTCTTTGTGCCGGGTTGTTTTGTGGAATTGGTAGATGCAGCCGATGTATTCATTGGTATCTCGCCTGCTTTGCAGGAAGAGAAACGCAGCAGTGCTCTGCATGGCTATCAAAACAGCATGGGGGCTCTTCTTTCCATTTCCATCGCTCTAAGGTATTGCCAGAGCTTTCGTTAAAACAGGTCTGGGAAACTTCTGTATATTTGTAGAACGATCTCACGGCTTTAAAAGGCAGTACTCAGCAGTTGCTTTGAAAAAACCCGAGTCGCACACTCAGCTACTTAACTCTGTTCATCTATGCTTGATGTGCGAGAAGCGCGTGGTTCCTTTTGAGAGGATTTAAATGAAGCAGGGCTACACAGATCACACGGCCTGAACCAGTGCTCTGGGTGCACTGAGAGGCTGTCAGCCTTTTGGAGCACGCCTGGCATTACTTGCACCTCTCTGAGGGCAGCAGGAGTCACTAGGCAGAGGGTTGCAACCTGAAATGTTGTGGGATTATGGCAGTTGGATGGAGTTTAGCCTTTTAAAGAGGCCGGTAGCTGGGCCCAGATCGCAGAGAAGTGGCTTGCGATTGGCGGCAAGGACTTAACAAGTATTAGCAAAGGGAGCTAAGCATAAAATGTTTGTTTTATGTCGATTTAGGTTTCTCTCTAGATCTACAGCTTTATAAATTGGTGCAGGGGGTTCCAGGCAGTTTAAAAGCACGGACGGTCTCTCTTTACTCCCCTCCTTCCTGCAGTAACGAGAACGTTCTCTGAAGCCGTAAGGAGATCTCCCGCAACACTTGCGGGCCATCACCACCGTTGGTATTTTGGGGCCAGGGCTGAAACTTGCCAGTGCATCACAGTGATGAGATTCACGTCGGTGGGCATGGTGCTCCGCAGCGGGGCAGAGCGGGGCCAGGCGCAGCCAGGAGCAGGGCCTGCCCTTGGCGACGGTGCCAGGTTACAGAGAAGGTGGTGTCAGCGCATGTTGCACTCGGGGAAGGAGAGCTGTTCTTTTCCCTCTGCCCCCTCGCGCAACAGTCAGCGGCATCGTGACCCGGAGCTTCTGGAGAAGCAAGCCCAGCGCTTGTGCTGCTGAGACAGGAACGTGGGGCGGCTCTGGTTGCTCTCTCGGTAGGTCCGCATGGTACGCTTGTGAGCCCGAGCAGCCAGCCCCAGCGTACGAGAGTTATATCCCGGCTTTGTCCTGGAGAACCAGGTAAAAACCCTTTTGTGAGGAGCACTACGGTTTTACGTCCCTCTTTTTCGTGTTCTCGCCAGTGCTGCCACCAGCTCCGTGCTGGGTTTGGGGCCACTGCATTTCTGACTTGCCGTGCAAACCCAGTGCAAGTGCGTTCAAGCGTGGCGTGACTTGCCGCTGCCCAGGCTGCGTAAGAGCCAAGCCCGGCCAGCTAGAAGCCTTCACTCTCGTCTTGCACAGTGTCTGTGATCAGAGTAGTGATGCCCTGTCCCATACAAGCCCTTTATTACAGGCTTGTTGGAACGCTAAATTAAATCATGCCTAGCAGAGCTGTTGCAAGCCTGTCTTTGGGGTTTATGTCCCAGGAGCCGTTCCTATGGGTATTGTTCCGGATATTAGAGGTTAGGGAGAGCGATCTTTCTGGCACGTATCGCTGATTTTTCTGCACATGTCCTTTCCGTGCACTGTGTCTTAAACTGATTTAAGAAACTTATAAGAAACTTAAGTCTTGGCTTTTCTTCCTTAGACAGGTAAGCATTTGCTAGTACCACTGAAGTGCAGCAGAGTCCTGACCATGCCTTATGGCTGTGCTCTGCGAAGTCAATCCAGGCACTGTACAGTGTATTTTTCTGGCTCTTTCAGAAAGGTAAGCCTGAGATCGATTTATCTTTTTTTCCCTTTACCTCCTTGATCCTTAGTCTTAAGAAGTTAACTTTCTGATGCTACTTTAAAAAGAAAAAAAACCCAAATGCCTAGTGCCTTTCTTAAGGGAACGCTGCATCGCTAGGCCGGATCTGCGTGCCCGCCCCTCTGTGAAAATGAAGAGCCCGAACTGGACAAGCTGTAAAGACGCCTTTGAGCGTGAGACTACTTTGAAAGGGGTGGAAAGAAGGGGCAAGAAAGATGGGCAGTTGTCGCTTCAACTGCGACACTGTGTTTTGTAGCATTTCAGCGGTGGAGGTTTCCTATTTTATTACTACCGGTGACTTGTCTGGACTGGTGCTGTGCTAAGCTTGGTGTGGAGTCGGTAGAATCATAGGACAGGATTGGTTTTGCTTGTAACAAAATACGAGTTCTGCTCATCGAAACCGCTGGATTTCCCCCTGCCTGTCAACCTGGCACAAAGCAAGCGGCAGACGCTTTGCACAGTGAGAGCTGGGGCACAAAGCGCATGGGACCAGCGTGAGTCCCCGCACGGCGAGCAGCAGGGAGCTGCGGACAGCGGGCGAGCATCGGCTGCTCTGAACGGGCGTTCCGGCTGACTTGGTGCCGTCAGCGCCGCCGCAGCGGACCGGGAATCTGCGGTGAGACGTACCCTGCCGGGGCTGGGGTAGATCTCGTGCGCCGCACGGCCCTTGCGTGTCTGTCTCTGCGTGCGCTGCCGCTTGAGGTGTGGAGCGTCTCTGCCGGCAACCAGCGCGCTGCTTTCACTACAAAGGGCTTTTCTGCCTGCCCTTCGCTGAGCCCTGATCCGGGGGGAGCGCGGGAGGCTCCCAGTGCAGCATGTTGCTTCCTGCGCTAGGCTGATGCCATTCCTGTAGCTAATCCCCAGGCGGGGTCGTTACTGTAAATGGTTTTTTTCGGTTGAGCAAGAAAAAGTGCAACTCCCAGGGCACTTTCTTAAAGGTGCCACTTGAAAAATTAGTGGGGAATAAGGGCACTTATTGTTAAAGTTCCTGGTAGAAATCTGTTTTGAAATTTCGGGGGGGGGGGGGGGGGGGGGCGGGGGGGTTTGTCTCTCTGAATA